CAAGTTAAACATACCCAATATTATGATTACAGTGAATCCAACGTTCGAGTCCTTGTTTCATCCTTAAACCAACATTTCTCTGAGCACCCACCAAAAAACTTTATTGAATTTCACGACACATTCAAAACGAATCTAGACAAATCATGTAAACTCAGTAAACCTAAAGTCTCCAAAAGAACGCCAATGACAAATCCGTGGATAACAGGAGGATTAATCGCGTCTATAAATAAAAAACATGAGCTGCACGACCACTGGCATAAAGCGAAGAGAGAAAAATGTTTGCATAATCATATCCAGGTAAACTTTGTCGTGAGATCAAGGAAGCCTGTCACTGCAATCCTTGTAATGATGCCAGGGAAAAGCATGCTAATTTTACTGACAAACGTAGGAGAGTTAAACACGTAATAAGACTAGCTCAACGCCTCTACACGTGCAACAAAATTGAGGAGTGTCAGGGTGACAGTAAAAAAACCTGGCAGTTAATTAATAAAGTGCGAGGAAAGCAAAATAAGCAAATGAAACCGTCATTCATGATAAACAATGAGCGTGTTATTTGTCGACGAGTTATTGCTCATGAATTTAACAAGTACTTTGTGTCAATCGACTCCAATCTGAACGAGGTCTATGAGAGGAGGATTGATGAAGATCCTATAATTGCTAAATCATTCACTGACTACTTGCCACAGTCCTGTCCGTCAAGTATTTATCTTGCTGAATGTACAAGCTCTGAAATAATACAAATTATAAGTGAATTTAATAACGGTAAAGCTAGCGACATACCGGCACATGTAATGAAGCAGTGTAGTCAAACTATATCAGAACATCTTGCCAGCATTTATAACAACTGCATGAATGAAGGTGTCTTCCCTGATCAACTGAAAACGGGTAAGATAACCCCGATATATAAAAAAGAAGATGAGGAATTACTAGAGAATTACAGGCCAGTATCAACATTACCAGTATTTGGTAAAATATTTGAAAAAATTATTTACAGTAGATTATACAACTTTTTCTTATCTCGAGGAATAATATTCGAAAATCAGTTCGGCTTTAGAAAAAACCACTCGACAAGTCATGCTCTTAACTACTCCGTAAATCACGTCGAAGAAAAACGGAATAATAAAAACCACGTATTAGGAATATTTATCGATCTCTCTAAAGCATTTGATACCTTACCATTTGATATGCTACTTAAGAAACTTAGTAATTACGGAGTTAGAGGAAACGCACTAAAGCTGCTCCCCAGCTATCTAAATAATAGATACCAGTATGTTAGTGTACTTGGTGAAGAATCAGAGCCTCTCCCAGTTAAACTAGGCGTACCTCAAGGATCCGTTTTGGGCCCCTTGCTTTTTCTTATCTATATAAATGACATCTATATATGTAATACATTAGGAAAATTTGTACTATTTGCAGATGACACAAACATCTTTGTAGCTGCTGAAACTAAGGAACAAGCATACAAAATAGCGAATGAAATTCTCGACTCTGTGTGCCAATATATGCGCCATAACCTACTGCACATTAATGTTAAAAAATCTTGTTACATGTACTTCTCGCCTACTAAACGTAAGACCATTGATAATACTGAAAATGACTTGAATCTAGAAAATGATGGGATCCCGATCAATCAGGTTACTGAAACGAAATTTCTATGTGTAATTATTGATGACAAACTGAGTTGGACACCTCATATCGAGAAACTAACTAAGAAATTAAACAGCATATGTGGCCGTATTTATCGAATAAAAAACTCCCTCCCCAGCCAGCTGTACAAACAGATATACCACACTCTTTTTGAATCTCATCTAGGATACGGTATAACTGTATGGGGTGGTGTATCAATTAATAAGCTTTCACCACTATTCCTTGCACAGAAGAAATGTGTCCGAATCTTATTTGGGGACTCGGAAGCATTTAGCGACAAGTTTAAAACTTGTTCTCGTAGCAGGCCAATCCAGTGCAGTATAAACAAGAAAGGTCAAATATCCAATGAATCAACTATACCTCACATTAAACCGTGTTCTATATGTATCAGCTTGAGGAAGACTGGTGATAAACAAGCAAGGCCACATCGCTGCCAAATACTTGGGGCAGAATTCCACTCTAGAGAATCAACAAAACCTATTTTCCAATCTAAGGAACTAATGACAGTACATAACATATATAGATACAGATGCATTACTGAAACAATGAAGATAGTGAAAAGTCATCAGCCCATATCCATGTATTCTCTCTTTAAGAAGTCTGAGCTCAGAGATGACAGATTTGTGACACCACACTCATCTCACAATTTCGCATATAAAGGGGCAAATCTATGGAATAGGTTTCTTGAGCAGTCAAATGCACGTGGTAAAATAGGTTCACTAGGTTCAATTAAATCCCGATTGAAGCTTTCTATCATGAAGGCTCAACACCAACCTGACAATATTAACTGGCGGGACTTAAACTTCAACACTTTCCTATGAAAAGACCCCCATTTATATTTATATCTTATATTTATATCTTTTAGATTTTACACCTGTCACTCACATCATATATGCACCACAAAAGAAAAAAGATTCATTCAATCATTACATTATACACTCACACATGCACACAAAACATTAAAGCAGGTTACACGCGGGTGTAACGTTCACTTTATCCGAAGGGTAAAATAATACTTTACGTAACGCGCGATTTACGTCTTGGTAGCTAAATTATTCAAGTGCTATTTGTCAGAGCGACACAAATGCGCGAGCGCTTGCGCGGCTCACCTATCCAACACTCTTGTTTACATCGTATCAGGCAATGGTTCAGTTTAATTATGGTAAGGGCACAGCCTGTCAAAAACCCTTTTCGCATGATCCGTCGACACCGCCTGAAGGTGAATGCATAATAACGGATCATGAACGTACGGAATCAAACGTTAATAAGCTTGCAGCTTCCGATGAAAATGTATTCAACTTTGTGTCATGCTTGAATTGGTTTTGGACCTCTTCAATTCTTTTAATTTATTTATTATTGTTATTTGGTATTATGAGCTGATATGTATATATACATACGGTATCTAAAATTAAGCGTATAGCGAGCATATTTAACAATTTTTAAGCAATAATGTATTGCGAGCAGCTGTAACTTAAATATCGCATAAAAATCATATAATTATGACACAAAACTAAAATTTTATTGGAATCTAGGTTAAACTAAGATAAAATTAATATCAGCCCCTTCGCCACTCTCGGCAGTCAACCAGGGCTCATAAAAGCTTAATAGCGCCTGGGTCCGTTCGCCAGCTGTGCTAATGTGAGTGGCGGTGTGGTAAAACCCATTTTAACAGCGTGAATACTTACCAAATATAAGCGCGCTAGCTGCTAGCATACTTGTATCATTTAATTTTTAATCAAATTTATTCGGATATATATTTATTGATTATGTATTGAATTGGTGATAAATAATAAAATTGTCTTTTCTCAAAAAAATTGTCTTTTCTCAATAATACGACAAAAATCAACGAATTTCGTCAAATTACGCGACTTTTACACCCAATTTTGCTCCAAAAGCCGCGCACCATCAAATAAATATGGCACCTAGGCGAAACTCACTGATCATTCCAAAAAGGTACGATAAATTTGGTACTGTGAAAATTCTCACAGTCTCTAGAAAACGATGGTACAAAAATTTTGAAAATCCGAGCAAGTTTATTTTATCGTGCACCGCCTAGTTGGATATGCTTTAAACTTTTCGGACACTTTCCTTGTAAGTCTATGAGTAAGCTTACCAATTTTTGTTGCAATCAGAGGTCTGGAAGAATACTTAATATCTATTTGTTTGAAGAAAATTGTGCTGGCCGAAATTAGCGCTAAAAAACCATCCTACAGTCGGCACGCGCGGCTCACTGTCCACTGTCGATGGCACACTACCTAGTTTGACGTTGCCATTTTGGATTTGCCAATGTAATATACCGCTCCTACTATATCGCTCCTACTAAATCGCTCGCCCAAATTTTAAGAAAATTCTTGTGAAAAGGCCCTTAGGGTGTGAAATTGATCTGAATCGGTGTATTTTTGGACGCTGATTCCGAATCACCCCACATGACGTAGGGTAAAATGCTCCCACGGAGAGTTATAGGCAAAAAACCCGAGCGTGCTAAATCACTCTACAGTCGATCTTCGAGATTGTTCTAAAAGGGCCCCCGACAGTTGAAACCAACTTCAATCGATGTATTTTCGGACGCTGATTCCGAATCACCCCTTATGACATAGGGTTTAGTCTTCCAATGGTTGTAGATGCGTAGGTGATCAAAAAGATCACCGCTGACTAGCAGTTCTGTGCTCTCACTATAAAAGCCAGGGCTGTGAATCGGAGGTACCCCGCTAGTGCCCCCCTGTCAGTACCTAGTCGAATAAGTCGACCTTAGCCTCTCTGCAACAAGTCCTCCTGATGCCTCCACGTGGTGAAGACTGGATACTGGACGATGGATGGTGGTGAACTCCAGGCTAGAATCAGGATGGGCGACGGGTAGATAGCTGACCCCCGGAGAGACAAGATAGGAACGTCAGTTGTCTCTCGAACTCCTAGCCTCTGAAGAAGAGAGGTGCGGAGCATCAGCTGGAGGTGTTGGTCATTATATCCTCTGACTTTCCACTACGACCCAAATGATTGGACCACGCTCTGGTGGAAAGGATGACCCCCATACCCGGGGTAACGGGCAGTCAGGGAGAGGGCTAGCTCCTGCAAAAGTTTAGCTTATGCTGACACCCTAGCCCCCCTAGCTCAGGGACAGGAGTGGCTACCTTCGGGTAGTGTCGGAGAAGAAGAAGAAGAAGAAGAAGAATTCACCACATCATTTACCCTGAGCAGACAGTTCGATTGGTTAAAGTCTGATAAAAAGTTCAACTCAAGTTGATGTTCCTGCGGTTCAAACCCAAATGTTCCGGTAGCGTGGCTTTGGGAAATGACCATTTGCCACCATGAAGGGGACTCCATGGGGTCATTTAGCTATTTGAAAAACAACTATGATGAATTTATACAGCACTAGGGTTAAAGCCCCTAACACGAATCTTGTGGAGGGTCGGCAGTTTTATGACTTGGCTGGCTTAAATCCCAATCTGGGAGGGCCAGGCGATGATGTACTGTTGTACCCAACACAACACAACAGGATAAGTACAGAACCGGAAAAGAAGAGCAGTAATTGTGGCAGCGTTGTGTCGTGTAGTAGGAAAACGTTCATCGGGACACTGAACGTTCGTACTGTTAGGGAACAGTATAAGAGGATAGAGTTAGCATCGCTCTTCCTTGAGAGTAGAGTTGCAGTTTTAGGGGTACAAGAGCACCGGATTGTGCATGAGGAGGAGATCAAGATCCAGAGTTTTGAGAAGGGTGTGCACCTGGTGACCACACCTGCTTGGAGAAACACCCGACAAGCTGCTACTGGTGGAGTTGGGTTTATGCTGACCAAGCAGGCCTACAAAGCAGTGAGTCTCATGAAATCGTTTGGGAAGCGAATTTTTCTCATATCCTTTGATGGAAACCCACGGCTTACAGTAATAACGGTGTACAGTCCCACTGAAGCAGCATCAAATGAAGAGGCAGAGGACTTTCACGAGGGACTAAGATCTGCATTAGGAGAGGTGCCAGCCCATCATCTGCTAATGGTTGTTGGTGATCTTAACGCCCATCTTAGCAGATTGAATGAGGAGGATTCAGGTTGGTACTGGCATCGAGTATCCAACAGAAACGGATCGCTTCTCAGGGATACTTTGTTGGAGGGAAACCTTGAGGCAACTAACCACCGATTCCAGAAACGTCCCAGTAAACTATGGACGTATCTCTCTGACGGAACACTGAGCAAGAGTCAGATTGATTACATCCTGATAAGGAAGAAGTGGCGTAACTCAGTCAAGGACACTGTTGTCTCCAATTCTTTTAACTCTCTTGGGTCGGACCACCGTCTAGTAGTTAGTTCAGTCAAACTCAGCCTGCGAAAGTGCCAGAATGCACCTAGAGTAGTAAGATATGACTACAGACTGCTCAAAGAGAATAAGGAGTTGCAAGCCTTGTATTCTGTGGAGGTGAAAAACAGATTCTCTATGCTACTGGAGGAAGAATCTAGTGAGCAGAACGATCCCACGATTCAGTACGGAAAGCTTATGGATGCCGTGAAAGCAACCAATCATAAGTTGCTTAAGCCCATCCCAAGAAGACAACGTAACAACCCCTCCCAAGATCCTAGGGTATCGGAGAGGAGGAGAACTCTGTTTCAGGCCAAAGACGCATATCATGAGAATCCTACAGAGGAGAGTAGAGAGGTAGTTAAGGAGTGTAAGGATGCACTTGCAGTGAGCTACAAAGAGGTTGAGGAGGAGACTCTTGTTTCTCGGATCAGGCGGGCTGAGGATGCTGCTGACCGGTGCAAGAATAAGGAAAGTTGGGACCTTATTAATGACATAAATGGCAGGAAAAGCAAGCCATGCAGCCTGGTTGATGGAGGTAGTGCAGAGGGGAGATTGAAGAGCTGGAAGGACCACTTCACTAAGCTCCTGGGTCAACCACCATCTGTACCTGACCAGGAAATAGTTATCCAAACCATCCACCCCCAGCAGGATATAGAGACTGGTCTGTTTTGCAGGGAGGAGTTAGCGGAGGCGAGGAAGCAGATCAAGGAGGGTAAGGCCTATGGTGATGATGGCATAGCTCCAGAGATTCTCAAAAGAGTGGACATGGACGACCTGATTCTAGAGTTCTGTAACAGCGCTCTGGTTGATGGAAAAATCCCTGATCAATGGCGGCAACTCAACATCGTGCCTGTGCCAAAGAAAGGAAATCTAACTAAAGTGGATAACTACAGAGGAATCGCTCTTACGTCCATTGTTAGTAAGACCCTGAATCGTATGATCCTTAACAGAATCAGACCAGCGATGGAGAAAATCCTGAGGATCAACCAAAACGGATTTCGGGAGGGACGCAGTACCACCAGCCACATTCTGTGTCTAAGGAGGATCTTGGAGGGGGCTAGAGACAAAAACCTGACCGCCCTTCTCTTGTTCATCGATTTTAAGAAGGCCTTTGATAGCATTCATTGGGGTATATTGATGAAGATACTCCTGGCATATGGGATACCAGAGCCCATTGTTAGGCTGATAGATGCTATGTACAAGGACACCATGGCACGAGTCATCACGGAGGATGGTCTGACTGAAGCTTTCCTTATACTTGCTGGAGTTATGCAGGGAGATACACTGGCGCCCTACCTCTTCGTGATTGTCATTGACTATGTGATGACAACAGCACTTAGAGGCAATACTTTCAACACTACTATATAAGAAATAATTTGAGGTATGACAATGGAAAGTCCGCTACGATGATAACAAACAGCGGTGAAGACAAGACAGCAGAAACAGAGAGTGTACAGCTACCAGACACCTGTGATCCGGAGATATCTCAACACCTGTCTTCTGAAGGTATTGCTTATGTTACACCTGTTGTTTCTCTGTTATGTGGAATCTGTCCCAAAGATCTTATATCAGAACCTTGTAGCATTCAATGTGATTCCTGTAAAACATTTTTCCATCCTAAATGTCTTGGTAAGTCTGCACCAGTGGACAGTGAACGGTGGGTTTGTCAGAAATGTAGGGATAATGTAGAGAACCAGCAGATCATTGATGCTCCTGACGAGGAAAATGATATCAGTTATAACTGTCCCGTGTGTAGGAGTGTTGTGGGGGATTCGGATAAGGCATTGGGTTGTGATGGCTGTGAAGAATGGTTCCATGCACCTTGTTTGTTTATCAGTGAAACCGAGTACGCTGAGATGGATAATGAAGAGATATGGTTTTGTGATACTTGTCAAGCAGTGAAAGCAAACAAAATTAATTGGGGCTCAATGGTTGGTGAAGAGTTGATAGCTGAGAAAGTCCAAGCTGTTTATCAAGAGATGGTGACATGGAGAAAGAATCTTTTCCTAGTTCCCAGAGGTAAATCAGGTAGCGACTTTATAAAAGAACTGACTCGGCTCATCCTCCTATTTGCAGATGCTACCAAGTGGGAAAGGCTATCGTTCGCACTGGTTCATATCTTCTTGCCAATCATGTTGCAAAAACCGTCAAGCAAGTCAAAAGCAAGAGACCATGTAACATATCTCACCAAGCGCTTGGTTAAATGGAAAAATGGAGAACTTGACGATCTAATGATGGAGTGCAGGAGTATTCAGAAAGCCTTGGTGCAGCAACAAAAAATCAGCGAGGAATCCGGGAAGAAGAGTTTCTGCCGACTAATGCTTCTTGGGAAAGTTAAACAAGCCACCAAATTTGTTGACAGTTCCAATGACACCTTAGGAGTTCACAGCCTAACAGCAAACATTAAACAGGTCCTTGGGGAGAAACACCCTCCAGCTGTTAAAGCAGATCCAGTTGTTCTGCACCCTCACAGTACTCCTCCACCTCAGGAAGTGATATTTGAGAGGATTGACGCAGAGACTGTCAAGAGGGCTTGTTTATATTTGGATGGATCAGGCGGCCCAACACTAACGGACTCAGATTTGTGGAAGCATATCATCTGCAGCAAATCATTTGGCAAAGCATCAGTGACACTTGCTGAGTCTATAGCAATTGTTGCAAGGCGCCTTTGTAGAGAAGATATCCATCATAGCTGTCTGAAAGAGTTCACTGCATGCAGATTAATCCCTCTTGATAAAGGCCAGGATAAGAACGGGAAACCTGGTGTAAGACCAATTGGAATCGGGGAGATATTGCGCAGAATCATTGGAAAAGCAGTTATAATGTCTTTCAAAACTGATATACAATATGCTGCTGGCCCACTGCAGACCTGTGCAGGGCTCAAATCAGGAATAGAGGCTTCCATTCATGCAATGAGACAGATCTGGGAAGACAGTGACACTGAAGCAATACTACAGGTTGACGCTGATAATGCGTTCAATCGTCTTAATAGAGAAGCAGCCCTTCACAATGTTCATGAGATCTGTCCTCCGCTCTATCAGTATCTAAAGAACCACTACCAAAAGCCAGCAGACCTGATCATTAATACTACCGAGGACCACTACCAACTAAAGTCTGAGGAAGGTTCAACTCAGGGAGATGTAGCAGCAATGGCATTCTATGCGTTAGGGATCAAGCCTCTAGTAGATGACCTAGCCACAGCCTCCAAGCCCAGTGTTTGCAAACAGTCTTGGTATGCAGACGACAGTAGTGCTGGTGGAAAGATTGAAGGTATTAAGATATGGTGGGATACGCTGTTGGAGCAAGGACCAAAGTATGGATATTACCCAAAAGCCAGTAAGACCGTCCTGATTGTGAAGAATAGCGAGGACCTAAATCTTGCGCAGAAAGTATTCTCAGGCACTGGTATTAAAATTGAGTCTGAAGGAGAACGCCATTTGGGTGCAGCAATTGGCAGCGAAGCTTTTAAGAACAAATATGTCTCAGATAAAGTCCATAAATGGTGTCAGGACATCAAGCTGTTGTCATCAATTGCTGTTGAGGAGCCCCAAGCTGCTTTGACTGCATATACTAAGGGAATTTGTCACCGGTGGACGTTCATTCAGAGGACCATCCCGGGTATAAGTCACTTGTTTCAACCATTGGAGGATTGCATCAGAACAGATTTTATTCCAGCAATCTTGGGTAAGAACGTATCAGACTTGGACCGCTCCATATTTGCATTGCCAGTCAGACATGGCTGGGCCTAGGTATCTCCAACCCAGTTGAAAACTGCAATAGAGAATTCACAGCCTCAGTCACCATCACAAAAGACCTCACAGACCTGATTATCAACCAGCAAAACACCCTTGAACATTACAACATGTCAATTCAAAATGACATAATAAAAAGTCTCAAGGCAATCAAGGAGAAACACTTATTTACGGTTAGCAAATCAATAGAGGACAGTGTAAGAGATCCCAACCTAAAGAGATCTCTCCAGTTCATCAAAGAGAAAGGTTCAGGATGTTGGCTTACTGCACTTCCATTGAAGAGATTTGGCTACTCCCTGAACAAGATTGAGTTCCGTGATGCTCTGTACTTGCGTTATGGTTGGGAGATCCCTAACACCCCATTTCACTGTGCTTGTGGAGAGAGAAATAATGTGAATCACACACTTATATGCAAGAAAGGTGGCTATGTTTCTATGAGACACAACAACATCCGCGATCTAAATGCAGAGCTGCAGCGTGAAGTATGCAGAGATGTAGTGACTGAGCCAGCATTGATACCCCTTGATAATGAAGAAATTGTTGGTACCAATGCTGATAGAGCTGCACCTGATGTATCCTCACGAGGTCTCTGGAGCACATTTGAACGAACATTCTTTGATGTCTGTGTTACCCACCCCAACTCACCCACATATGTCAAAAAAGATATGGAACAGATCTATAAAGCTCATGAAATGAGGAAAATGAAAAAGTACAACAACAGAATCATCCAGGTGGAAAAAGGCACCTTTACCCCACTTATATACTCAACAAATGGCGGATGGGGTCCACAAGCCACAAGATACCACAAGAGACTCGCTGAAAAACTATCCCAGAAGAGAGGAGAAGACTATGCGGCTATTATGTGTTACATGCGCACCAGGATTAGATTCTCAATCCTCAGGAGCACCCTGATAGCGGTCAGGGGTGAGAGAGGGAGACGGCAATCGTATACATTGCCAGTCAGTGTAACTTCGTTTAACTTGATACCTGCCACCATGGACTATGAATGTTTCTAGACACTATCCTTTTGATATTGAGATATTGGTATCTCAGATCATGTGTACATCGTTCCTTTTTTATGACACAGTAATTTATTGACACTCACAGCTATAATTTTAATCATTGAATCAGTATTTTTATCTATTAACTTATTACATATTTGTGCTCTGCTTTAGCATCACTTGACTATTAAAGTTCAGGCCATGACCTTATAGTCAGCCAATTGGCCATTGCTATATTATGTGTATATTGTTTGATTTATTCAGACCTTAGAGGCAAAGATCTGGGCTTCACTGTCAACCCCAGAAGAAGCAGGAGATACCCAGCAGTTAAGATGACAGATGTCGACTTTGCTGACGATCTTGCACTGACAACAGACACCGCAGAGCAAGCGCAAGATCTTCTCCTCAGTGTGGAGCTGGCTGCTAACTCCGTTGGACTGCACCTCAACGAGAGTAAGACGAAGTACATCAGAGTCAATCTCTCTGAGTCTGACTCTACCGTCATTAAAGCAGCAAGTGGGCAGGAGATAGAGCAAGTAGATGACTTTGTCTACCTTGGAAGCAGAATAATGAGTGCGGAGAAGGACTTTGATGTTAGGAAAGCAAAGGCATGGGGGGCCTGTCATCAGTTAAAGACAACCTGGAAGTCTGGAATGCGCAGGGACTTAAAGATCCGTGTCTTTCGAGCAACGGTTGAGCCCGTACTCCTGTACGGCTCTGAAGCTTGGACGATAAGCCAATCCATGACTAAGCGGATCAATGGATGCTACACTAGAATGCTCCGGATGGCCTTGAACATACGTTGGCCACAAATCATCAACAACAGTGATTTATACGGCAACATCCCCAAGCCATCAGCGATGATAGCCTCCAGAAGAATGAGACTGGCTGGACATGTAGCCAGGCATGACGACCTTCTGGCAAACCAACTTCTGTTCTGGGACCCTCAGCATGGATACAGGAGACCGGGGAGGCCCCACCTTACGTTTCTGGACATGCTAAAGAAGGACACCAGCCTTTCCTGTGTTGAAGAGATAAGATCTGTTATGCTTGACCGCGACGTGTGGCGAGGAATTGTAGTTGCTCGGACCAAGAAGCCGACTTAAGTCAGTAAGTCAGTAAAATGCTCCCCTGACGAAATATTGGCGAAAAACTGTCTCGATCACGTGATATGACCGTATAAGGAAGTTAGTCTAATTTCTCGTTAGGGTTAGGGTTTCAGCATATGCTTTTGTTAAGGATTGGGTTACTGTAGGAGATGCACCATAAAAATAAACTTGTTCGGATTTTAAAAATTTTTGTACCATTGTTTTCTAGAGACTGTGAGAATTTTCACAATACCAAATTTGTCATACCTTTTTGGAAAGATCAGTGAGTTTTGCCTAGGTGCCATATTCGATGGTGCGCGGCTTTTGGAGCAAAATTAGCTGTAAAAATCGCGTAATTTGACCAAATTTGACCAAATTCGTATATTTTTGTCGTATTATTTGGATATATCTTCAATTCCTTGAATGAGATCATTCTGAAAATTGGTGACGATCTTCCAAATCCAATAGGGCTAATTTTACAACTGTCCGAAAAATTTGGTGGATATCGGAGTTGATATAGTGATCAAAATGGGGAAAAAT